TTACGTTAAAATAAACATCTGCATTTCGACATGTTTCAATGAAACTTAATCTTGAAGAATAATTGAGAACCATATTTTGCCTAGAGTCTAATTTTCACGTTAAAATAGGCACCTTGAAGATTTAACAATGAAGCCATTGGTTTTGAATGAAATAACGAAGTAACGACGATCTTAATGATTTCCACGCGCCTGAGCACGTAGGAAAATAACAAAATAATAATCCTAATAATTCCCTCGCAAGTTTCTAAACAATTTCCCACTTTCAATTCAATTCCCTATTTTCAAGCGATCTCTCCTCTGAATTTCCATCCGAATTTTCGTCCCGACGGAGAAGTTCTTCATTACGCTCGAGAAACTCGTTATCCGCGTTGCTTTTTGCTGCGCTGCGTCTTATTTAAAAGGCGCGGCTATTTTCAGCTTCGGAGTTCCCTTCGCCTCGGCGTTTTTTTTCCACGAGCGCGTGTGACTCGTTTACTTTGAAAGGGTCAAGAGTCTGAGAGCTGAAGAGCCGTTCGTTCTTCGTTTGTTTCTTCGCAACATTGTGTGTTGCGTTCGCAAGCTCGAACAAACGAAACGGAGTGTAAAGCAAGATCGGGGGGAGGGGCGGATCGCTAACTCGTAAAGCTGAAGGACAGGCTGGTTTTCTATTTTCTTGGCGAGAAATGGTGAACTCGTGTCCCCATGATTTTAAAGGTTCTGGCAGGAATTCGAGAAGCTCGTCGTCGTCGTCGTCGATTATACCAGGTTTACGAGAAAGGTTTGTCCGTTTCCTTCGTTGTAACTGATCCTCGGATTACAGCCACCCGGAAGTGATAAACTTTATTATCGAGCTTTATCGTCCATGAAATTTCCACCCTATCTCTCCCTCGGTGTTCGTCGTTCATCTGCAGGATCGCTTCCGGTAATCTGGCTGGTGTATCAGAATAACCTCTTGACATCATTTCCCTCTCGACGTTTCTTTCTCTCTCTCTCTCTCCCTTTTCTCATTGTTGAGTGAACACGCGGCGCATCTTCACTCGAGTGACTCTCGTAACAGGGATGTTCTGTTGCTTTCCGCGATATTTCACGATTAATATTATTCCTGCTGGCAAGTTACTAACAGTAGCTCCGTTATTCAACATTGAAGCGGCAGGTTAATTGGAATTAACGCGCGCAGAAATTCCGGTAATCAGTTAATTCAGGCAAATTTTCCGCGCCGGTGGAAACTTCCTCCGCCTCGATGATTCCGACTCGAAGCGTTCCAGCGCTCGAATACTTTGCTTTGGAACAGGGCAAACGTAACAAAGAACACTTGCCGCCCGTGTAAGGGGTTTAAGAGCAGCCCGTAGGCAAACGTAGAAACCATCTTATCCTCGTTTCCTGTCTCGTTACAGCTGGCTGGGCTGTAAATGGACCATAGCTTTGTCTATCCTGACGTACGTGCCGTTCATGGCCGCGCAGTTCTACCCAAAATTCTACACCATGATACCGGCTGGCTTGATGGTTGGCATCGGTGCTGGACCGCTCTGGTGTGCCAAGTGCACTTACTTGACGGTGGTCGCGGAAGCGTATGCCACGCTGTCGGACGTGGCCCAGGATGTCCTCGTTACCAGATTCTTCGGCCTGTTTTTCATGTTTTACCAGATGGCGCAGGTCTGGGGCAATTTAATATCATCTGCAGGTGCGTACGGCCACTGACAAAGGTACATGGATGTACGTGACACCTAGCGACACATCCTCTAACAAAGACACGTTTAACGTTTTCCTGGCCGAAAGGAAATTCCAAGGTTAAACGAACGTTGCCGTGTGCTACAGAGATTAACTAAAACCTAGACGTTCATGTTATTTAATTTAATAATCCCACGCATGTCCTTGCGAGATCCCTCGACGTTCCACGGAGGTCTAACGATTGTGCTTATTAACTGACTGTTTTCACAGTCCAGTTTAGATCGATGAATGGAAAAAGGAAAGGAATTTCACGTAGATCTAGACTGGACTGTAGGTTGCGTAGTTCTTAACATGATATGATCGTCCCACAAATAATAATATTCGGAGAAATCGAAATTTGGTTGGAGCTCGACAAATAGTAACACTTTTTTGAGATATTAATGTTTGGAAAATGGTACCAATTAACGGGACCCACCACGTGTTATAATATGTAATATTATAATGTAATTATAATATTACATATTTATCACACGAGACGCGATTTACACTTGTATTGAATTTAGATATATTTGTGAAAAAGTGGGAACTATATCGGAAGAATAAGGCATAATAGTTCATGATTAATCTAACGATTAATTTAAGACACTGAAATAGATATTTTTATTTAACAGATTAGAAGACAAAATTATTTTTCTAATTAAAAATTCAAAGAGAAATACTTGAAGTATCTAATAGTATTTAAATAGCAGTAGTATTGTCAAACATAAAGATAAAGTACATTATGGTAATTACTAAAGGATGATATAATTATCATTGATATAATTATATATAATTATATTGATTTTATCATCAATTATCATCAATTATCATGATAAAATTACGAGCACAATTCATGACAATTGAACTCGTATTTTAATTCAAATAATCATGATCAGATATTAACCATGCGACTTATCGATCGAACTCAGAATTGTAAATTAAGGTTTCGACTTGATTACGTTCGATGCCTTTTGAACACAGTGCACTTTTAACACTTTTTAAATATTGGAATTAGAGTATTATTTGAAAATTCACTTCTAAAGTTTAGTCGATGATTGGCAATGAGCTCTTATCTCCCTATCGATCGTTAACAATTAAACAGTTGATCGTGATTTCGTAGGAATGTATCGATGACTCGATTGCTATAAATGAGTTAAAAATTATAATGAATTACAAATGAATTGAAAATTTTAAATGGCACTTGGAAATGTCATAGAAGTGAATGAATTGTTCAGTTGTTGCAAATAAATTATTAGAAATATCAGACAGATTATTAGAAAATATCAGAAATGTTAGTTACGAATTCAGTTGGAAATTTTGATCGACGTGTAGTCGACGAAAGTTCGATTGATAATGAGCTGCTGCTGCCCTTGCCACTCTTCAAAGTTAATTGGATTTTTCGATGACGCGGAACGTGCAACAGTCTTTGTTCACACTTCAACTGACAAAAGTGATTTCCCCATCATAAAAATCAATAATTTGACCATTTTCAGATTTCTGTTACAAACTTACGGTTTGCGCAAATTGTTTCAGCCAGAAATTTACACTTTTTTCAGCCAGTAAAATATTTGTAAATTATAAAAAAAAAAATTTACACTTCTGTGTATATTTTCAGCTCACAACTGTGTCGGAAAATATACTAAATGCCAATTTACGTAGAGAATTAATTAACATTGCAATCAAGGATCCAGTTGAGGACGATCATTTGCAATCGACGAAATATCACCACGTTCAATTCAGTGAACAATTCCCGAGCGTGAGCGTGGCAACGTTGTCCGTATTTGTTGTCGAATTTAATTCACTAGCTACGGTGGAAAACCTGCGTAAATTGGTACAGCAGGACGTAACACGAAAATGGTAAGGGGCCGTTTGGAGCGTCCCCGAGCGTGTGACACAGAAATGCATCAGATATCACGTCTATTGTGCCTCGTTTGTGGTGTAACCGTGATGTTTCTTGGCTGGATACAGGATCTGAATTCACGCTTGCACGCGTCCAAGTTCCTGCATTCTGACGATCGAGAGAGAACGAAACAAGAACGCTTTCCTTTTGAATTATATAGCGATGTATGTTGGAAGTGTGAAGAGCACACTTCGCTTGCCTGAAATTGAGAAATTTCTCGGACGTTCAGCACGCTTGTCGTTTCGTAAAAATTTTACTTTTACAGTCGAGACACGGTGGAACATAGACGATGAAAATCACTTTAGAATGATAAAGTTTTGGATGACGAACGTGCCAAGCGATTTTTGCCTTTTTGTTCAGGCCATTTGATATTTTGACTAAAGGTTGATATATTATCATACAATCT